TGGTGGTTAAATCAATGTATTGGTGGGTATAATCAATGTATTGGTGGCTCAAACCAACGTACAAACCATGAAAATCGACATATTGACAGTTAAAACTAAAGTATTGATGTTTAAATTTAACTTATTGGTGTTTAAGTCCAATGTATATTTGGGTTAAACCAAGATATTGATAGGCAAAACTGGCCTATTAATGGTTAAAACCAACACAATGTGGATATATACAAACGTAATGGTAGTTAAAACCAATGTATTGATGGATACATTTAGTGTATTGATTGTTAAATTCAATGTTAGTGGTTGAAAACCAACACCTTGATAGTTGAATCTAACATTATTGGTTAAATTCAATGTTTAGATGATTAAATCTAAGTCAAATTGAACTTATTGATGGTTAAATCCAACATAGTAATCAGAAAATCAAAAGTAATGTTGGCTTAATCCACATTTATCAGTAAATTCAACATATCAGTAGTTAAATCCATGTTTTGCTTGTTAAATCTAAGTTTTCATCAAATTTTCATGCAAACCTGTTTTGATGGTTACCGTATTTTCTGGACTATAAGTCGCACCTTTTTGCATAAATTTGCACGTCCTGCGACTTATACACTGAATAAACTAATATACGTTTTTCCAATATTTATAAACCAATTTTTGGTTGAGATCTGACGATTTCATTCATTCTGACATGAAAAATATTAAACACTACCATTTGTGGCCACTAGAGGGTGTTCAAGCCATATGGCAAGCCAAGTGTGTCATTAATAGGTAAAAGTGGCTATTAATGAGACACTTGGCTTGCCATACTAAGCCACGCTCCAGAACTCCTGGAGGAAACTTCAAATCAGCTGCATTTCACCTGGGCGACAAAATGCAGCTGATTGGACCATTAAACTGAATTTATGAAGGAAAAGTTCAACTGAGACACACCTGTACTATAATGTCGAGCAAACAAATTGTTTTTAAATGTTAATCTTATATAATGCAACTTGTACGGCGGAAAGTACGGTAAATTCATGTTTAGGTGGTTGAATCTATGTTCTGGTAAAAACTAAGTACAAATATTTTACGTACTTGTTACTTATCTAGTACAGTACACACCAGGTGAGTTTGTATGATGCATCTCTAACAAATCTATTTTTTATAAATCTGATGAAACTCCGCTCTACAAACTCACTTTTGTTCCACTCCAGCTGAGACGTCCTCTTCACACACTGAATCTACCTTTAGACAAAAAGGAGGAACGGACGACCTGACGAGGTCGACGGAGGTGTTCCTCACTCGTCTGCCTCGGAGCTCCATCCCGCCGCCGTCCCTCTCGCCCTCATGGAATCGTGTTTCTGCTCCATATTTTACCTCAATGTCACCCTCATATTTAAAAGTCTAATTTGGCCAACGGGCAGCCATTTCTGCAGATGTGTGGCACGTCGTGACAAAGTCTCATTTCCTGTTTCCTGATTGTGAAAGGCAGAGATTAAAAACCTCTCTCTGAATTAATTAATCTGAGGGGATCAGATGTGACTTACACTTTTTTACACGTTTCTGTGAACTTGTCTCTTCCTCGCTTCTTGCTGCACGTGTTGCAACAGCACGACCTCTGGTATTTCCTGCAGACTGCCGAGTGTCTCAAACTGCTGCTGATCCGCAGCAGAAACACACCGAACCTTCGGCGCCTGGCTATCGGAGCGTGTGCACGTCCATGTGTGCACGTTGTGGTTTCACACGTTATGGGCGTCTGTGCCCAGACGTGTCCACAGTTTGTCCACGGCGTCCCTCTACGTGTGACGGATTCTGTCCTGATTGGTGTTTCCACCGTCGCCGACAACGCCGGCTCTTATTTCAAAAGGCCACTTCATCCGAAGCCGAGCGGCCGTGAGACGAGATAAAAACCTTCTTCGAACGTTGCCGTGCGAGGAAGACTGGATTAGAGAGAAACTCCGTCAATCATGCTGCTTCTGTCCCCGTCAGCCAGATTAAATCCAACAATTTCAGAGTCAGAGTCAGAGTTTCTTTATTGTCATTCGCACCTCATGTGGTACATGTGGTGGAGCGAAATTATGTACACGGGGTCCCAGTTACATCCAACAATAAAATGTCTAAGAAAAACAGTAATAACATCTAAGATATGAACTAAGAAAAACATCAACTAAATATACACTAAGCACTCATAACATAAAAACATTGAACATCAGCACAAACATGAACATGAGTCTGTGAGCAGATGTGCACACATGAACACATCAACATTGAAACAGATCAGCAGCAACATGAAACAGATCAGCAGCAACATGATATGGTTTTTCACAGTGATTATTCTAGTTAGATATTCATGAGTCTAACAGCCTCAGGGTAGAAGCTGTTCCTCAGTCTAGTGGTTCTACACTTAATGCTCCTTAACCTCCTTCCTGAGGGGAGTGGGGCAAAAAGTGTGTGTGCTGGGTGAGTGGGGTCCTTCATGATGCAGGTGGTCCTCTTCCTGCATCTGGAGGTGTAGATGTCTGTGATGGTGGGGAGGCTGATTCCAACAGATTTCTGTGCAGCCTTCACCACTCTCTGCAAAGCTTTTCTTTCTGCAGCTGTGCAGCCTCCATGCCACACGTTGATGCTGGAGCACAGGATGCTCTCCACTGCACACCTGTAGAAGGAGGTGAGGACTGAGCTTCCAGACCAGCTCGCCTCAGCCGTCTGAGGAAGTAGAGTCTCTGGTGAGCTTTCTTCATCAGGCTGGTGGTGTTGTTGCTCCAGCTGAGGTTGTTGTTCAGGTGCACACCCAAGTACTTGTAGCTGGAGACCACTTCCACCGCAGAGGCGACATCGAACGTTATTGGTTAAACTCAACATAGTAATCAGTAAATCCAGCAGACTGTGGGCTAAATGTAATGATTAGATGGTTAAATCAAGTTTAGATGGTTAAATCAAGTTTAGATGGTTAAATCAAGTTTAGATGG